TTAGTGTACATTTGAAGGATGAGTACAGTGTGTAGTTTGTATGTAGATTTTGTTAACAGTGGTATTTTTTTAAATTAAGATGATTAGTGATTAAGAAACCTAAGCATGCTTCATGAGTTATTTTACTGGCTGGTTATATTTGGTGCTACAGAGAGCAAATAAAATGATCCAAATAAGATCACAATTGATCTTCTCAGTGGTGCTGCTGTTAAACCTCAGTGCCTCCTTGTAATAAGCATTATCACATATTATAGATGTAGCAAGCAGAAATAACTACTATCCAGAAGTTCTATGTGCATCTCTTCAATGCAAATCCAGAAATTGGACTCTCACCTTGTGCCTTCTATGCTAGCATTTGGCTTGCTATATTGTATCTTGGGTCATTAGATGGTTACATTTTTTTCTTTATATTTTTTAAATCTCACAGAGACAGCATTCTTTTTACTGAAGATTAAATTTATCCTTTTAAGAAGACATAGCTTCACTATCATTCCTTTACATGGTCTGTTGTTCACAAATAGCATTAAAATCCTAGTATTAAAAGAATATGGTCACTTAAGAGTTTTCATATTTGCTTGTAAAGGTTGCTTAAATAGTTACCATTATTATTAGTTCTGTAACCAACTTATTAGATGCAAATTTTTTATGTCATCAAATAAGCCTTAGTCTTACCAGATTAATTTCAAATCAAAGTACACAAATGAGTTAATCCAGAGCTGTCTGACTTCCTGTAATGCTTGTAAATGGATCCTGGGAATGTATATATACATACATGGAAATACAGAGTGGGAATTTGTTTTGGTAGGAAGTTTAGATGGCTTTGGTATAAAACCATGCATTTTGAATGTAGTAGATGAGCAGCTTGTTTAAGTCAGTTTGCTTTTTTTTAAAAGGTTGGCTCAGGTTCTTTTCCTTTACCAAATTTAAACTTCTTGCTCTTAAACTCATCTAGCTTAACTAAAACAAAAGCATAAACATCAGGGTGGGTTTTTTTCAAAGTAAATCTAAACAAAAATCTAGAACTCATGCATTTAAAATTATTTTTATGTGGGTTTTGGATATTGAAATGCATAAGTTTTGGTTTTGAGAACTCAAAAATAGAGCAATTGAGTCTTAATTTCTTTCAAGTTTTGTTGATTCAGCCATACTGGTGTAGTTTATAGGCTACCATACATTTTAACAGTTTTGAAATAATAAGGAATGGTGCATTTATGCTTTTGAGTTTCTTACTACTGGCAGAAGAAAACTGTAGACTGATAAATTATAAGCAGGAAAAAAAAAACCTTTGGCTTGTTCTTTCAGAAGTAAGTACATTGGGCTTTTTGTTAATACAAAGGGGAAAGGACTGCAAACTTACTTGTACCTTCAGTGGTTTTGGTGCAGGCAAGGAGGACATTAATGGTTCATGTGCCTCTTTGTAGATACACTATTCAGTGACCTCTACTTAAGTGCATTATTTAGTGACCACTCAATTTATTTTATCTGTAATAAAAGGTTTGCAGAAGTTTTATTTTACAAAAATAACTTGACACTATGACTTGTAAGGAAATGTGAAATCATTTAGCCTTGACAGGCTGTATTGTTTTTATGGAGCAGAAGATAATACTACATGGTAAAACACTTACAAGTAGCAATATTTAGTGCAGTTAATATATTGGCTAGGTCTAAGTTTCTAGAACTAAAATTAATGCTAATTCATATTAATAGTGTAAAATAAATATGATCATATATTGTATTAAAATACTGGGTTTATGAAGCTTTTTTATTGGAGTAGTATTCCAAAAACAGGAAGAATTGTATTCTTGTTACTCTCACCAGTATCCCTAACAGCCTCTTTACATATAGTGTGCTATGTTCAGGAAGAACAGCCTTTGAAGAAAGAGGCTTGTCAAATGTCTTATTTTTCGCTTTAAACTGTACAAAATACTCAGAGTAATCTAGGTAATATCTCAGCCCATATCGGAAACACATACCTGATTATAATAGTGTTTTTGCCAAATATGTTGCTCCATCAGTCTTAGAAATAGTGAAAGCAGAAGCAAGTTACTCCGATGTTTTTGAACCTGTATCATTTATTCACAATTGAAAAATGAAGGAAAAAACATTTAAATGCTTCTTGTGTTAGTTAGCATCAAACAGCAGATTTTCAGGCCTCATGGGAAATAAATGTAAGAACTGGGATGCAACGGAAATGTGGTCTCTCATCCATCCTGCTGTGTAATCATTAAACTTACTTAGAGAAGAACATTTTTAACAATGTTTGCTGAACAATGTTGAATTCTCTCCCAGACTTAACTCTGGCAAACTGGGAGAAGTAAGGAGAGAAAATTTGAAGAAGAGAAGCTCAGTCTGGTTTTCATTTTCTCTACAGCTGTCATCTGGCTTTGAATTCTGCTGGAGAGCTACAGCTGGAGTCATTTTATTGCTTTACCCAGCATCCTTTTGCCTGTGCTCACAGAAATGTTTTAGTAGTCTTGGAAAAAAATTCAGAGTATCTCTTAGCAACCATAGGACAGTAATTATTATACCAGCAGCTGGGAGCAAAACAGATTTCCGTTGTGCATTAAAAACTGGCGTAGGTTACGTTACAGATGATACTGAATAACCTATGCCAGTACTGTACTTTGCAGGCTGTGGTTAAAGAATATTGAATGTGGGCGGTGTAGTTACTTTGGACAGTAGAAAAGGGGAATGTGTGCATCTGTGTTTGTGTGTGATATTCTGTATATTTAATATAACTGGCTTCGTTCTTGTGGAAAACTTCGTATGTTTGCTTTCTGCTTAAATGCATTTTCAACACAATAGCATTTTTGTTTCCAGAGCCACCTCCTTTGGATTGTCAGTGTTTCCATTATAGATGTGGGGTTTCAGGTGTTTATGACCTTGTTAGAAAACATCACATTGGGGCAGGAAGTGTCCAAGGAAAAGCTTTTTTGATACTCATAAATGTGGTTTGACTGTATCTAAACTACCATTTAATTAAAAAACACAGAATTCAGAATGCTCGTGGCATTTCTGTAGTTCTGCGCAGTGAATATTTCTTGTCTAAAGAAGATTATAAGTGACCAGATAGCTCCTCATTTTTCATAAATATCAGAACTTAGGCTGTGTTTGCTTACCTGTAGTGCCTGGGTTGGTAAGCTGAGCATTTGCTTTCCCAGAGGCTCTCGTGAGCTCGTGCCTTACAAAAGGTCAGATGCCTTTCTCTGTCTCCTGCCACCCCCAAATTTGTCCTTGAAGTCAGTTGGCTTGAATTGTGGTGTCTGGTGGGATTTTCTAAAAGCATTCTTTGATAATTTCTGTGTATAGGGCACAAAGGTTTCCTTTAAGATTAAAGTTTGTTTTTCATACATCATTGTCTGGCACTGCGAGTTAGCCGCGTAATAGATGATCAGTGTCTGTGTCCTTCATTAGGTGGAGCCTGTCTTGACTGCCGAGAGCAGCATGTGTGAGCACGTGCATGTGCCTTTTTGCTCTGTAGTGTAGATAGTTTATTTCTGGCAAAAAAAAAAAAAAAAAAAGGTGTGAATTACCTGCAGAGACAGGAAATAAAGCAGGCTGTTGCAAGTGTCATCCAGGTATAAAGACTGGCTTATAGATAGTATGTGTTTTTCCCCTGGGAGGGGAGGGAAGGAGTAGTTTTTACTGCTTGCTCCCTTCTCCCTAGACCACTGAAATTGGTAATAACAGAGGGAGGTGCTTAAAGGGGGTAGGAGGTGCTTATCACTGTGGTTTCTGTAAAATGGCTTCTAGCTGTTAAGTGTTTGCCTAGTTTAAATATTTTCTGCTTGTAAGCTTTTATAACATTGCTGAAACCAAAATTAGTTGTAGGCATTTCTTCCTCGTGCTTAATGCAGCTCTTCTGTGGTTTGAAGCACTGTTTTGGAAGCTTTTTATGTCATTGGGCAATCTACTGGCAGGAGTACTTCCTGCTTGGAAGATGTTTGATATTGATTCTATTTGATGCTTTTTCCTCTTAAAATAAGTATACATCTGTGAAGTCTGATGGTTGCTAGTCATTTCAACATTTCTTTTATACTCCTATCCAAGCAATGTTGGACCAGAAAATTTAATTTTGACAATAACAGGGTCAGTTGCTTAGTGGTGTTGTCATGCTTAAGGATCTGCAAAAAGTACATCTTTCTGTAGCTTTGCCTGTCTTCAAAATTCTTCAGGGGAACTTTAACCTGGTTGAGTGAGCTGTTGCTTTTCTTGGGATGTATGCTCTCCAGTATTAATTAAGCTGATAATTACAAATATAATTTTATAGAGAGAGATATATTAAAATATAATCTTTTTTCCACTCAGTGCTTCTGAACAATCCATAAATTCTTAGTGATGTGATGAATTTCTTTCTCTTAAAAATCAACTACAGACCAGCTACCCCCACTTTATCTAGATGTCTTAGAACTTGATACATTAGGATCGTATGTACATGAGGTGCTAATATAATCCTGGAATAAATTCCTTAAGTATTTTGATAAATGAAAACTAATGATTCAGTGTTAATCTGCCAAAATTACAGGTTTGCCTCTGCCTCAGTAGTTTTCTGCAGTATTTTAATTCTTTTCCCCTTAATGTTTTCTTGATGTATAAAAATACTTATACTAAAGCTGAAACATCCTCATTGCTGGAAGCTGGATGATGCTAGAATTTTCTCAGTGCTATCAGATGATGACAACCAGTTAACTTTACAGTGTCTCTTAATAAAAACAAAACATTGTACAGTACATTTTTGGCAGCCCAGTGGGATTAGTATCAAAGTGTTCTGCTGTATCCTAAGTATATCCTGGTCAGTTAAGCTTAAAGAATGAGAACTGATTGTTTTTCTATTCATTTCAGAAATTGTATCTTCTCACAAGCCAAACATACTTCTTCCTTAATCTGAATGGCACAGGTCCTGCAGATATCTCATTATATATTGCCGCATAGTCTCACTTTCATATAAAATTGCCTGATATAACCTTAATTTCAAAAAGGCAGTCATTAGTTGTTTAATATATACTTGCTGTAATTAGATATTTTAATTGGGCCAATTTATGTTAAAACTGACTTTCTCTTCCTTTCCAGCTGATCTTGCTTTTAATTTATTAATAGGTCTGAGTAGCTTTTGCCTTATTAGTATCAGATATTTTGTTTCTCCAGTTGTATTTTTGTAAATACTGGCAGCCTCATGGGTGGTTAGAGACAGCATAATCTCAGAGACTGGGCTGATCTCTCCTTCCTTAAAGAAGTCTGATTTGGCAACTGAGTTTCAAAGGCACGTGCCCAAGTTGTGTACCCTCTGCAGGGAAGGAACTCTGTATTTACCAAGGCTGACTTGTAGTAAAGAAAATATGTGCCTATTTCTTCATGCTGTAAAAATGTGCATTTAATAATACTTGTGTTTATAGATGCCTCTAACACATTATCTAGAAAATTAACGCATTTATATATGAACTTGATGGGTTCGGTGTGGTTTTTATATAAATGCAAAATCATTTCAAGGGACTTTTTATGTATTCTAGACTGCTCAAGAAAATACATCAGGTTCATTAATGAAAGATCACCTTTTCCAACACGAAACTGTAGTAACCAGTGAAACTTACAACAGTGCGAATTTAAGGCCTTCAGCATTTGAGGATTTCAACACCAGGAGAGCCTGTTTTCCTAGCCAACCTAACCAGGTAAGAATACACATAAAAGAGGCTGTTCTTACTTTGATTGCTGTATTAATGGTACAGTAGGTTGTTTCTGATAAGAAAGTACTTCGTTCTAAGTCTCCGTATGTGGTATTATACTCTCAACTTCTTGAAATGATCAATATGAGCTTTGCAGCTAAAATATTAGAGCATTATGGCAGAGGTGGAGCTTTGTGAAGGTATTTACCTATGTTTGTAGTGCACCAGACTATATGAATAAATCTTTACTTTCTTTGATGTCAGTTCTTGTATTACAACCTTCAGTATCTGCAGTCTTGAAAAGCTGTTTAAAATTTTTCAGAAAATGTTAATTGGCTAAGAGCTTAATCTCAGTTACGTGTATACTAATAGTGTTTTGATTAGATATATTGAACAGTATTTTTAAACTTGGTATCTTGGATGCCCTGCAATAGGGCACTTCTGCTAAATATTTTTAGTGAAACATTGCTTATGCTTCCTAACTGCCTCTTTAAAATATTTTGGTGCAGAAAGGAAAACAGTATATCAGTTATGTATGAGGTCATATTTATACAACAGTAAATTGGAAAGGCAATGTTACAGCTTTTCCTTTAACACTATACATTTTGCTTATTTCTAAAACTTGAAGAACTGTCAGGTTTTGTAGACTGTAGAAGTAGACTTAACAGTGAGTTGGATAATAAGTAATTTTAGAGTCTTATATCCAGAGGCAAACACAGCTTTTAGAATAAGCTGAATAGTAGAAGTCAAAGCAGAATGCAAGTTCAAGTAGTTTTGAACACTTCATCAGAAGATATTTTTGCTCTGTGAAATAAAGCTTTTTCATACACTTCGTCGTTTTTGCAGACAAAGATTGTATTAAAGTCCTGTATCAGCTCCTCTTAAGCTGCTTTATTGGCAAAAGGAGCAAATTGTGTTATCTGAAAAACTTAACAAAAGAGCTTAAAGTTAGGAACTTCTGATTTTTAATCACCGATCCGCTTCAATGATCTCTTTGTGTAAGTCACACCATTTTTTTGTTTGTTCTGTCCATCAAGAGGTACATCTTTTCCCTCTTCCCATTTACTTGCAAAGGAAATTGTAAATATTTTTTAGAAAAGAATGGATGGGTGATTAACATTTAATAGCTACAGTAAACAGTGATGCATGTGCTTTGTCTTCACCAAGTTGTAAAAAAAATGTACAGTAGCTTAAAATACCTGTATGTTTTAAGAGCATGTATAAAATCGGCTACTGAGAAAATGGTAATTTAAGATGTGGTATACTGGCTAGTCTGTGTGTGTCTGATAGAAATTAAGTAGGAGTTTCTTTAAAATGACAGTGCTAGAATTCAGTTCTTGAGAACTGAAGTTATGGGAGAATCCATGAAAATTTAGGTAGATATTCTTTAAAATAATTTTCCCACATTATAGCACTGCCTGTAACCCACACTCCCTGCTTTTTGCTGGTCTTGTGGTACACACATTAAGAATACAGGCAAGTCACCAGAACCTCACATGTACATAGACTGCACTGTCTCTGCTAAACTCAATGCATGTGACCAGGTGGCATGGCAGATCATGAACTAATTACCTATTGTGTTTCAGTTTTGTATAAATAAGTTTGAACACTCTTAACTCTGCTTATAAGTTGAATAGGCCAAGACGTACCCGCTCAAACTAGAGTGATTAATGACAATTCTGATTTTTACCTGTAATACTTTGACTGTTCGTAAAAAATCCTCAAGTCCCTCAGTTCTTCAGCTTCTGATACACAGATGTGTTTTTAACTTTAAATTTAGTACTTTGTGATGATATATTCAGCTGTTGGTGTCCTCATATTGTGGGGTTGCAAGCTGAGCAAAGTCATGTGTATCTGTTTGAGAGAAACCAGCAAAGACTCCAGTACCAAGCAAGTGACCGTGCCTTGTTTAAAGGTGCACCCCTTCAAGTAAGGTGCAGTACTTGTGAGTTCAATTGTGTCAACAAAAAATTTTTGCTTAATTTCCAGTTGGCTAAGCATGTTCATAATCAGATTCTCTGTGGAATTTCAGTTTGCTGTAATATTCTTCCTCATAATATTCCTCCTTCAGCTGTTACACAGAGATGGTGTTTGTACTGAGTTTTAATGTTGAACATTTAGAGGACTGTGTGCATTATTCACACTGAATTTTGCTGGTATTTGTACCTAACTGAATTTGGATTGTATATTGGTTTTAAGTTTTTGTGTACTTCATGTGTTGCTATAGGTCCCATTAAACATCCAGTGAGCAAGCACTTAATATAAATAAAGCTTTTCCAACATTTTTCCAGTTTGCTTGTCTTTCAGCATTTCCCACTTGCTTTCTTAAAAAAATATTTCTTAATATCAGTTGCATAAAGAGTGTAGTAGTGCTTTGTTTCTAACATGTCAGTCCTTAAGCATTTTTAGGTGTTGGGCTGCGAACTTAAAAAAAAAGATTTCTATGTATGTGGGATGTTCTGCTCAAAAAAATTAAAAGCCTTAAAATTAAAAGGCTGAGGAGAGGTCAGATTTTACGGTTCTTAGTATTTGTAACCATCTTTAATGGCTATTAGCTTTCTGGGGATTAGGAGGTTGAGGGTAGTTTTTGTAGTTTGAGGGTTTAGGTTTTTTTCCTTTGAAACAATGGGTTTTATGTAATGTCTTCAATGCGTGCATAATATTCTGTGTGGACAGTGGGGTAAGGATCCTTTATGCCTGTTGCCTGTAACATAAGGAATGTTGCTGCTTTTTCTTTAAATAAATTTATGCTATTAAGTGTTCAAAGAAGCCAGTTAGCCACAGCTAGTTATTGATGCTAAACAATAGACTTTTCCTCATTTGCAAAGAGAATAGAGTTGAGAAGCCCTCTGCTTTTATAAGTAAAGGGGAAGCCTAACGGCTTGCATAGTAGCCTGGGAAAGTATGGAAGAGCAGCAGTGTTAGCTGAGTAGGATATAACCTTTCTTCTCCCTGTATCCTTGAGACATTGTGAAGGTCCAACTGTATGGCTTAGAGCCAAGAATATTCTTATTAGCATACTCCAGTTGAAAGTCCCAGGGCAGTGCAGCTCTGTACTTAGCACACAAGGATTGTTGAGCAGGGAAGTGATGGTTAGAGCAGGCTACAGATATTCTTACATAATCAGAAGATGGCATATTTTAAGAAGCTCTTCCTTCCTCTTTTTCAGCTGCCTTCCTGTTTCCCTCCTCTGTCTCTTACCCCAAAACTAGGGCATGCAGACTTCAGCATAGTAGGAACATAGACGTGTACAGTGAAATAGAAGTGTGTTAACTTAAAACATCATCTTCAGTATTTTGTTGTTACACACTGCAACAGATTAGGAACATGCGGTTCAACTCCTGTCCTCAACTAGAGAATGATGACACATTAATTCTCATTAATTTGAGCACTAATAAGGTAAACAATACTGATACCGAAGATGCATTCCCAGATAATTCATCATTCTGGAAGAATTTTTGAGGCTAAGAGGTTAGGGAGTGGAGGAGGTTTTTTGTCTTTCCTGTGAGATCGTTTACAGGCTGTGTACACTTGACAGGAGGAAAAGGTGGAATTTGACTTGAAGCGCACTTATAATCTGGCTCTGATTATACTAGCCCTATACTGTAGGAAAATAGTTGCCCATCTGTAAGGTAGGAATACTGGGACATACTGAGACTTTTGCTTTTTTGCTGCACTGTCTGCTGTTTTCAGGAACTCCTTCCATACATGTGCTAAATTTTTATCCTGTCATTACTTGCACGTGTTCTTGAAAGTCACTTGTAATAGGATTTGAGTAGCATTTAGTAGCAGTTCACTAACTTACACTTAGATATAAGATCCGCAGTATTTCAGTTCAGATGAGTCTATGAATTTTGCCACCTTTGAGAACTTTTCTGTGCCCTTTCATTGTAAGGCAGAGTAAACAAGAACTCGACCATATCTCTCTGCTGTTTGTTTTGTACATGTTTTAGCATGTTTCTTCTTACTTGCTTCTTGATGTAAAAGGTATTGAATTATGGTCAGTGCATTACAAGCTGAGAATTTAAGAAGTACTTAGGTGTTCTGCTGGTGTCCTAAACTAATCAATTTAAGTACTGTATATTAGCTATGGGGAGAGGTGTTTAGAAGCTGCTGTTATTGATTGATTGTCATACTGAATACTATTCTTCATATGCCAAGATCCTTATCCAGAATACAGCTTTGAGAGTATGTAACCTTGTTACTGATTGGAGAGAGTCTGAAAACTTAGAACATGAATAAATGAAAGCTTCTCCTGGATAGCACAAGTAACTCAAAGTGAATGTATCAGGCAGTTAGTCCTAAAGCGATGGAACATCACTGGCATGAAATTGGCATGTTCACCTAAGGTGATATGTGGCATTAGTTTCCCCTGTAAGATGTTAACACCATAATTTTGAGCATAATTCAAAGAGCAGCATCAACTTCTATGTGAATACCAAAATATCCAAAGCTCTTATGAGATACTAAAAGGTGAGGAAAGAATACTAAAGCTCATGGTCCTAATATCATAAAAAGACTCGTTATTGTGGGAAAGTCTGTAAATAGTAGTAGTAAGAAAACAAGCTGAGCTTTTTATCCTCAAGCAGCAAGGAAAGTAAATCTTGGGCTTTAATTTTCTAATCTAAGTTTTACATTTTAGGTAGACGTAAATTTGGGACTTCGCTGAAGTAAACTTACCTCACTTTGCCATTTCAGGTCGCACCGAAGTCTATGAGACACGTTAGTTTTCAGGATGAAGATGAAATTGTTAGAATAAACCCTCGTGACATTTTGATACGTCGTTATGCAGACTACAGGCATCCTGACATGTGGAAGAACGACCTGGAGAGGGATGACGCAGACTCAAATATACCATTTTCTAAATCAGACAGTAAAAAATCTGACTATTTATACCCATGTGGGGATGGAACTAAGTTGAATTCCCTGAAAGACTCCAAGAGTTCTGTGGTATTCAAAACTCAGCCTTCCTCATCAAAATCTAAAAACTCTAAAAGAAGAAAAGAGGATGGTGAGCGTTCCCGCTGTATATACTGCCAGGAAAGGTTTAATCATGAAGATAATGGCAGAGGAAAATGTCAAGATGCGCCAGATCCTATTAAAAGATGTATCTACCAAGTTAGTTGCATGCTTTGTGCAGAGAGCATGCTGTATCACTGCATGTCAGACTCTGAAGGAGATTTCTCTGATCCTTGCTCGTGTGACACTAGTGATGACAAGTTCTGCTTACGCTGGTTAGCACTGGTGGCACTCTCATTCATTGCTCCATGTATGTGCTGCTACCTCCCCTTGAGAGCATGCCATCACTGTGGTGAGGTGTGTGGGTGCTGTGGAGGAAAGCATAAAGCTGCGGGATGAATCAGTCTTGTGCCAAACAGAGCTGAAAAATCTTTGTTTCCAGAAAGCATCTAACTTGGATTTGTGGAAGCTTTTTGGCAAGCTGAAGGGAATCTTCTTTCGCGTAAGAGATGCTTGATGTGGAGGAAGCAACAAGACTTGTCAGACCTTGGCATTTTACAAGTGCTAGCCACGCCTAACTATTTCCTTTGAGTGCGTGGTGTTTGTAGCGAGTTGTGAAGGAGATTTTGCAATGGAAAGCCTGTTCTTATTATTGGCTATAAAATGAGTATATAAACTATGATTATACTAAAAGGGATTAACTTTTGCCACTTTGTACATTCATGGTTTAGGTGAGGGGGCTCTTTTAAAAGGATTAAAACTTACCTGAGGGGAAATTTTAACTAAAAGTGCACTAGTGACAGCTGATTTAAGATTAAGAAAAGTTAATACTCGACAAATGAGAAATGAAACTGATTTTAAGTGCAACTAAATCACTTATTAATAGTTTTTCGGAAACGACTTTATGTATAAATAACAAATGTTTATATTTAACTAAATGTGTAAGGTACGAATTATTACATGTTAAACTTTCCTTCCCTCCAATATAGTAGGTATGGACCATATCTACTGTCACATTCCATGGTCATATTTTAAATATTTTATTAGTTAATTTAGTTGCATTTTTATTCCAGATGGACAAATTGATATTTTCAGTCCTGGTTCCCTTCAGCTACAGTTTGTGTTGAGTTGCATCCATACATTCTGATAATCTAAAAACCTTTAAAATATTAATTATTCTAGTCTTGAGTGACCAATATTTTTTTGTTAAGCACAGATGTAATTGTCTAAAATGTTCTTGTTAGAACATAACATTTATTTTTATATATAAATGACTTTGATTTCAACATAATAGAAAAAAGGACATTGTTTCTGTTGTTCAACCAGCAAGTTGTTTTCTTTTGGGGTGTCCTCCAAAAATACTTTCTTGCATATGCAGATGTTCATTAAGCAAAAGGTACATTAAGGCAGTTGTAACAAATTGTCATCAGTGTTCTTGTTTATCCTTCTGTTAAACTAGGATCCTGTTCAGCTGTTTATCAAGTACTATGATTAAAACAAAAGATTAATAACAAAAGTGAAATTGTTTTCATTATTTTGAACCACAACTTTTTCTTACTTGAACGGGCAAGAACAAAAGTACTGTGTTTTGTTCAAAAACAACAACAAAAGACTTAGTTTGACAAATAAATTACAGCCCAGGCAAAATTGAGTGAAGTTCTTAATTGGGGAAATTTGGTGGTGGGGGGTGGTGTGTGGAGAGCGAGAGAGTGTGTGTATGTATGTGTATGCACAGTGTATGATGTTATGGGTCTAGACTTACTTGCTTTGAAAGTCTTTAACTTTCAGGTAAGAATTAACCAATTAACCCATAGAGAGATTTTAAAAACATTTCATGCTTTGGTCTGTTATATGTAGCAAGAAATATTTACTTCTCGTTAAAGACATGTAAAACACTAAAATGAGTAATAATTCATTGGTGAAGGTGTCTATTTGATATCTTGGCTGGAGTGGGACAGACTGTCCTCAATATACCCCTGTTACTAAACAAAGAAATTAATTATTTTAAAAGGTGTACATTACTTACTTTTCTCAATTCTATGCATTTCTTTAGTACATTTTGTGTAATTTATTTTCTGCATATATCAGTCCCCTTAATTTTCCTTTGTAGCCCAGAAGTAAAATGAACAAATGTATATAACTTTGTCTGTAACATACTTTTTAAAAGAAAACATTTATATTTATATTACAACTTGAATTGACCACCTTGTGTATATAGATCATCTCAAAGTATTATTTCACATTGAAAAAAAAGACAAATATCTTGATAAGTGTGGAAGTTACAGAAGAGCTTCTAGTTTTAAGAGTTGATTGGATGACTTAAGTCCAAGAATATGACACAGTAGCAGCAGTCTTGGTTTTTACTGTTTATATATTTGAAACTGCTACTCTGATTGGTTTTCATGCTTCACACATTTTCAGCTAAACCTGGTTGACTAGAATAAGAATAGACTGTTAACTTTCAAAACAATTTTCATTTTAAAAAATGGTGGTTTTCTAGTGAATGAGAAGAATTTATTATTTGTAAGTGCTAGATTCCTAATTCAAGGTGGAGAGAGGTATGAACAACTTAAGAAAAGAACTTGCTGGCTGTATAGGAAAATGCTATGTAATCACATTGTGTATATACTTCAGAAAGAAATTAGTTTAACAGTTTCCTCTGAGCACTATACAACATAGTGAAACTCCTGGTCCTGTTGTGTATTTTACATAAACATATATGGTTTAAAATTTTTATTGAATGTGTGCATTAATATTTTCACCTTGCATTTAAACACTTTGCTGCTAAAATGTTTTCACCTTTTGCTTTTCTCTTTGAAGACTTGATTCTTCAAAAAAAGGGTTACTGATTGGACCTGTGCTCACTTTTTCTTCTTGTGCCCAGGTGTCAGCCTGCATGTCTGGTTTGAGAGTGACTAAACAAATGCAAAGATACGAGGTTACATAAGGGTTGGTTTTGGTAGCATGCACCATGTACTTTTTCTTTCTGGTGTTACAGATCCTTGTGGGTACTGTTGCATTTAGGAGATGAGTGGTGGAAAGTGGATGTACAGCAAACCCAGAACGTGGTTGTTGCATCTGTGCATCTTTTGGTTTTGGCAGCATATAACATTTATTCTATCTCTTCTGAAAAACTTTCTTAAGGATTTGGAAAACGAGAAATTTCTTCCCCAATCTATACTTCTCCTTTAGCCCTTAACGTCAGAACTGTAGTTTCTCAGACATGTAGTAGCAGAGCTTTGTGTCGCTTGGAGGGGACCTGAACCTTTGGAAACCGTCACTGAATATTAAGTCCCTCAGCTTGTTGAAAGCCTCGGTTACCGTGAAAATTAACCATTTCCCCTGGAAAGTGAGGGAAGACGTTAGAATTACAGCAGCACTCGAGCACCATCTACTGCGGGAAAGCAGCGGCGCTCAGGCTCGGGCTGTGATGGGCGTTTAACTGGCTCTCGGTGCACCTGAGGTACAACACTATTTTATGCTTTAGTTATGAATTGGCAGAGTGGTAATTTGGACTCGTACTATGTTCTCTATCTCATCATGCTTCTTAAGTTTCATTATTAATACTGATGGAAAGTAAAAATCCTTTAACTATATTTTTTGTTAGGTGTTAATATAGTTACAATGGCCTATTACACTGGAGCATAAAAATCAGGAATGAGATGAAAATTATTTTGATTGTCGTTGGGTTTATAAGAAATATTTATTTCCTCTCTTGAAGTTCTTCCCACAGAAAAGTGATGGAATTTTGGTGTTCATGCAGAGAGAATCTGGCCTTTTGGTTTGTGATAGAAATCAAGTTTTGAGTATGCACAGGTGGGTCTGTGATCTTGCATATGCAATTCAGTTTCTGTGAAGGGTATAACTACAGCTGTGTGCACAGTTAAAGCAATATTTGATAATAATCTACAATTATTATTGTAACTTTAGGACACAGCAGCAAATGATGGCATAAAACTCAGATGCCTTTCCAGAGCTTATGGAAGGGGTGCTCCAAACAGTCTTAACCAATGCAGTTTCCTTTAGAGAAACAAAGGTATTTTGAAGAATGCCTTAATTGTGCATGTTGGAATATAACATTCCCATTTCAGATGTGTTCTCTTCAGAATGATCTGCTCATGTGTACCTGGAGGATAATGTTTAAATTAGACTTTAAATCTTTTCTGAGCTTGTAGCACAGTGTGCAGTCAGTACAGCTATACGTTCATATTAATAAAATGAAGATCAGGGTTGGTGGCTGATTCTGGCAACAAAACAAGAGCTTTAAAAAGATGCCTTATGGAACCGTCAGTGCAGCAGCTGTGGGGATGAAACTTCTACTTCCTTTGGTGCAGTGATAAATAAAAGGAGGTATTGCAGGGGGCTGTTTGAGTTTGGGTTTGGTTATATTTTTCCCCCATTAAAGTTTCTTTCTCTTAATTGCAAAAGTTGTGGTTGATTAAAGAAATCAAAGCATTTGGTGAAGAAGCAGCCTTCATGTTCAAAGCTGCAGTATAAGCCGTACATGGGTTTCCTTCTTTTGCTTGGTGCCATTTGCTTTCCACCCTAATTTCCTCAAAGTGCCTCATGTGTATATTGTTTCCATTAAACCTCAACTGCTATTTGTTCCTATTAAATGATGTATAATTTAGTTCACTCATCCCATAGGTGTTTCCTTTATGAATGTAGCCTGTTGCTTTGAGTATATAATGTAAATATGTCTTTAAGTTTGTAACTGGTTTGTTACATCATATCCTTGTAAGTTGGCATAGCAGATAACACCATAAAAACTGTTTAAATGGTTTTTTCCTGTAATTACTTGATTAAAACTATCTTGAAATGAAACAACTAACATGTTTTTCCATTCTGTGTTGGGATTACTCAGAACAGTGCATATGAAATGAGATGTTGCTGCTCAAGAACAGAATAAAAAGAAGTAAATACAGGTAATGATTTTGCCATAGTATTCTGCTTAATGATTAAACAAAATGTTAACCAGATAATTTAATGATTTTAAGACTGGTCAAACAAATAATGCTGCAGCATCTTCCATCATAAGAACCATTTTTGAGTTGCTATAATGTTTTAGAGAAAAATTTGCTTATACCAGCTTGCTTTGTATCTGTAGCAGTACTTGTCCTTGGCATCATGCTGTGGAGGCCCAAATTCCTTTATATAAACCATGTATATTTGAGTTCCCACTTCCCCCCACCAAAAAAAAAATGTGTATCTGGATATAATTCTAAGCTTTGTGTAAAAATCTGTGAAACTAGAATTTGAAAACTCAGTGGTCAGGGTTTAGGATGGATTATTCTAAATTGAATTATATTTGCCTCTGTGTTTTGCAAATGTTTTCTTATTGGTTACAGCCACTAAAGTAATTCTTGCTGTTCAGTTGATCAGTTTCTAACTTGAAGAATTGTATTAGTGCCAGGTGTAATCATTACATGGGCTATTAACTATTGATGCTTGAGCATTTAATTGGTGATTTGAAAAGGCAGCAAAGAAATGAAACAGGCACATTAATTGAGTGACTCATAAGGTGAGGGGTTAATAGAGATTATTAGAGAACTGTGTGAAAACTATATATGAGAAAGTGGTGCAGAATTAAACATGGTTTCATACAAATTAAAAACCTAGTGTTACTTCTCAGACAAATCCACCTTAACATCATGGATAATGCACAATCTTCTGGTTTTGAACAAGAAAAAAGATAGGTAAGGAGCTCTTCCTGTTCTTTTTTTATTTTGTTCTTTTCTTTTTTTCTTGTTTTTTTTGCCTTGTTCTATTTTTTCTTCACAGCTAAGTCAAACTCAGTTGCTGGAGTTTATAAATTAAATTAAAAACTGAAGTCAGTCCACAGACTGCAGTCAATAGACCACAGATCTGGTGGCCAGTTTCTGAAAGTTCAGAAAAATATCCCAGTTGGTCTTTGCCATTTAGCAATTAATACTTATTTTATATCACTGTTTCTTGAACCTGTCAGTTTACTGTCATAGCATTATGTGTTCCTGTACCCGAACAGAAAGAGTTCAGTCAGTAGGGTTATACCATCACTTGGGAACACAGAAACACAATTCTAGTTATTATTATTAGTTTCCATCCTCAGAGACACTCAGAACTCATCTATGAATGTCCCTGAGTAATCTGCCCAAAACCTTCAGGCAGGTGAGGTTGGAGTAGGTGATCTTCAGAACTCACTCACTGCATCAGTGATTCTGTGGATTGTTTTTCAAGAAAATTAAGATTTTTATTTTTTTTTATAAGCAAGAGAACAGTTTCAGTTCAGTAAAGTAATGCACTTCATCACAGTAAAGTGATGCACTTTAGTGCCTGCTAATTTTGGTCTCTAATTTGGAGGCAAATCCTACTGTTAATGCATGAATATTTCAAGTTGCCGTCGAAGGATTGTCATTTCAGTCATGTCATCATTATAACTCAATGATTTTTGCTAACAGAATTATTAAAATATGAATATATTTCATGAACAAAGGCTTTCTAATATAAGTAATAGGTATTAGCAGAGTATTG